GCTGGCCCTGGCGTATCCTGATATGTACTCCGATGGGGTATCAAAAATTCCCCACACGATGGTCGGCACTATCCAAATATCTGCGCTCATGTGCTACCTCGTGATCGATGGCCTGCCTCAAGACACTGGCGAACGGCTGGGCCACTACGACCCGCATACTTGGCAACAGAGGAAGACCGCCGTGCAGATCCGGATGCTTCGGCGAGGCCGATAAGGTCAAGCACTACCTCAGCTCTCAGCTGCCTTCGCTTCCGCTCCCTCATAGAAGACGCCCTGGGCTTCTCGAGGCCCGCGCACCCTTTGGGCAGACTTGGATGATTTGGCTCAGTCGTGGATCTCAATCAGGTTGTTTTCGACGTCGCCGTGATGTATTTCGCTTACCATGCTGCCTCCCACGCGGCGCCCCTCGCTGCGTGGTCCGAGGGCTTTGCCCGCTCCCGCGTGCTGGCTGCCATTCGAGTGGTTTCGCTTGGGGCTCGCTGCCCCGACCAGCTCCCGCACCGCCATCACCGTCGACGTCGGCCTGCCCGCGCAACGTCCACTCCAAGCTCGTCCCCGAGCTCCTCTACCACATCACCATCATCACCTTCTCGGTCGTCATCTTCGTCCAGTGCATCAACTGACCGCGACACCTCCCCGTGCGGCTCCGTCCCGTCACCGACCACATTGGTTGATGCTTTTGGTCTTGACGACTTGATCGCCCCGCCGCCGATAACGAGCGATTGCCGCGTCGAGATCCCCGTTGAGGCGCCACATCTTCAACGTGACCATCGCACTCCTCGCCAAGATGCAGAGCATCTTCGCCGACAGCTCACGGATCGCGCTACAATCTGGGCGAGCTCCTGACTATCATCTATCTACTTTGCTGAGCCCCAGAGTGACTTCAACATCTGGCTGGACTGGTGCGTGCACTATGTCTTGGGCATCTTGCACTACCGTGGATTTTCCCTCTTGTTTGCCAGCCGCGCGACGGAGTCCATGCAGGCGAGGAAGCGCGCTGCGGAAGAGATTTGCGTGGCTGGTTGGCATGGGTCAGCCATCAGCCGTGAACGCCTTCGCAAACACTTTATTCAGCATCTCCCGCGCAATGACCCAGCCGTGCTCCATGCGGCCTTCGACTACCTCCAGCAACACCTGAGGATGCTAGAATGGCGCCCTGATTCCTCGCGCATGGACTTCCTCAGCCACACCAGGTTCCTGCAATTGGTCGCCGTTGAGAAATCGTGCTGGGCGACGCCGAGACCACGGCCCCCGCCAGCGCCGAATCCGCTCATCTGGTTCCACAACTTCTCCATTGAGCGCAGGGATGTGGACCTGCCCCATCCCAAGGTTCGACCGATCCCTTCGTCTGAGGACCCCGAGGTCTACTCTGCCAACGAAAGCGATCCCCCGATTCCGCCTGTGTACCTGTCATCCACGGAAGAGGACCTCAGACCCTTGGACGAGCCGAATGACCAAGAAGAGGCATGTCGCTCGCGCCCCCCACCGCCTTTTGCTAGCGACTTCATGAGTGACGATGAGTTCGATCACCTCTTTGGTGGAAAATCGAAGCACCCCGAAGTAGGACAAGCTCAGCAACTGTCGGAACCAAGTAATTACCCGGCGTGGCCATCATGCAGTTCTTCGGGACCCCCCCCCCTGGCGTTGACGAAGATGTCTTGGCCTGGATGAACCCTGCAATGGCAAGAGCTACGGCTGCTTTTTTCGTCTTCTGGTGTTACCAGCTCGGCCCCGCCCGCAGAGCCGCCTGCTGCATCTTCACCTGAGTCGCTTCCTCCGCCAGCCCCTTGTCGTGATATACGCCCTCTGCCAGCTGATAAAGCTGACCCGCCCTATGTGCGGCTCCAAGGGGTATCGCCCTCATGTTTCTCGGCGTGCTGACGCGCATCCTCTGCGAGTCAGTCGCGACCTTCCCGAAGTGCAGCCCCCCGCGCCTCAGCAACCTGAAGTCCCTGCTGCTGGTCGCAGCAGCGTGCTAGACCCCGCGGCACACAACTCTGGGCCGCAGATGTTGTGCCCGCCTGCCCTTGTCATATCCACCCGCCCTGATGCACATGGACCTGCCCAGTTCACCAACGACGCACAGTCTGACCTCGAGGATCCGACTTTCCTGCAGGCACTCTACGACATGGAGTTGCATGACGACGGCCGCCTCCGTGAGGACGAGGTGGGCGCCATCCTGGTTGACCCAGCGGACGAACTGGCGGCGATTCTCTCTGATGACCACGCTGTCCCACTATTCTTGGAGATGGTGCAGTCACTGGGGACGCACCCCGCTGACGTCAGCACCGAGGCGCAGAAGATTTTGAATTACGACGGCGGCCGCCAGTCGGCGCTCTTCCCCGACTTCATCCCCAGCGAGAAGTACGACGGCAGCGCCACCCTCGGCGTCCACTCCTGCGACACCCTGGACGCCAACAGTGCGCAGGTGGGAAAAGCTGTCTTCGTCCGCCGAGGCGAGAACCATCCGCCCCCCAGCGACCACCGCGAGAACACTGATAGGCCGCTCGCTCACCCTGGAGCTCCTCCACGCGCCCCCGACACATGTGTAGTGGGCGAAAGAATAACCGACACTCACGGTGCTTGTGACTGTGCAGATCGACATGATGTGGACACTCAGCCACGCTGCGTCCCTTCTCCAGATGCTCTGCAACTTGGATCGCATGACCTACAACCCGCGCGCGCACATGCGAACTATGACGTGCCGTCTGGTTTGTTGCCGCTCACCTACTTCGCCCTTCAGCTCGCCCTCGATGCCCTAGCCCAAGACGTTGTTCCGCGCCTGTCCCCGCCGACATCACGCACGACGTCTCGGAGCTTCGGCGCATCTGGGTCGGCAGAAGCCCCTGAGCTGCGCGACGTGATCACCGTCCAGCAGACCGAGTATGCCATGCGTGCGCTGGATATCTTGTAACCTGAACTCTCAGCGGCCAAGAAGAGGAGGATTCGGTTGATGCTATTCCACGCTGCATGCCTCCTGGGAGCGCGCGAGGAGCGATCCAAGGATGCGGAACGAGAGCCCCGCTGCGCTCTTGGTGAGGACCTCTCTGCTGACGGACCTGACTCCCTCGGGCCCATCACGGATGAGGGCGCGTTGATGTGCCGCCCGGACGTAGATGTCGCCCCTCCGCTCGGGGTCGCGCCGACACTTTCCTCAGGAGTACTTGCTGGTGCCGCGGTTTCGTTTGTGGGTGCCCTCCCAGGCTACACGCCCTTCGACCCAGGTGCTCAGGTGACATTTGGAAGTTTGAACAGGACTCGCTGTCCGCGCCGCCGCGGCCTGTGTCCGCTTGAGACAGGAGGCCGCCTGCCCAACAGCGGCCGCTGTCGGTTTGGGACAACATTTGTTGTTGGGCATTGTGCCCATTTTTTCCGTGCCCATTTCGGGCGTCTAAAGAGATGACAAGGTCCTTGGGAAGGGGTCGAGTCTTCTGTGGACGCCGTATAGCAATAATCAAGGCATCAGATTTCTGTGATTGAGGACTGGAGGAATCGACACCTGTTCCAGCCCGAGGTGGCGGGAGTGAAACCAGGCCGCCTCCGCTAGCGGGGGGCTGGCGGGAGTAAGCATGTCCTTTCCCAAATATGTTTTCCAAGCTATTCACACTTTTGTGGGTACAGGGTTTCTGGAACGAGCCACGGATGCATCGCCCCATGGCCAGGCCCAGGACAGGTGTATATGCCTTTCTGGCTTGGCCAGGTGGGCGTCTACCCTCCACCTCCATCTCCCATACCCTCCGACCTCCGCGGAAGGTGCGGACAGATTCATCGAAACGCATGGAAAACCTACGCAATCCAAGGAAAACCCACGTAGATCAGATCGAAACATGGGCGGAAGGTTATGGCGGAAAGTGTGGAAGAATGAGGGGGAGGGAAGAGGACGCCTCTCCCCCCCACTCATCGAGAGGCGGTGCGTGTTTGTGTGTGTATGTGTGTATGTATAATTATATATAGTTATAATTATATATTTGTATATATATATATATATGTATATGTATATATTCGGCGGCGGGCGAGGGGGGGAAGTGAGAAGGAGAAGGCCTTCTTAGAAGTCGGCGGGCCTTCTCAGAAACCCTCGCGCCTATTGACATGTTTCCTGTGTCATCGGGGAAAGCTCAGGTCACCTCTCAGAAGGCCGGGGGACTTCCGAGCCTTCTGAGAAGGCCTTTTCCTTCTCACTTCCCCCCCTCCCTCGCTGCCAATATATCTCGTCGCCCGGTCCGTGCTGGTAGACTACGCGCAGCAAATCTCCGACGTCTTCGGGCCCGTCGCGCTGGCGAGCTGCGTGGCCCGGCAGGAGCTCGAGGAGGAGAAGACGCCACGACCCTGACCCTTCGGAGGTCCGCTCGGATCTCCGGAGCTGGTGCTGGAAGAAATCCGTGTGGACTTCCGACGGTTTACGTATGTGCCGCCATTCGCTACACCGGCACAATTCGCTAATGGTGGCACAATTCGCTACAACGGCACCCTCGATTAGGTAGCCCTCCGCCAGTGCAGTTATTCTGCCTATTCACCGACGTGAAACAAGTATGTGCCGCGCTTGGTTTTCTGAGGATCTAGGCCTCCCAGATAGGGTCCGAGTAGATGGGGTCGGAGGATCGCGCCGCATCGCCGATGCATCGGCGATGCGGCTCGATGTGGGGCCCGATCTGCTTCATGTCGTCACGTCGGCGATGCATCGCTGCTGCGCCGCCGATGCATCGGCGATGCATCGGTGATGCGGCGCGATCCTTCGTCCCCATCCACTCGGGCCCCATCTAGGGTTAAGTCCCGCCTGTCCCCTACAAGTTTATTTTCGACGAAAAATTAAAGATACCCCACAAATAATCAAAACATAGTCCAAAAATAGTCTGCGGATTATTTTTTTGTATTTTTACCCTTTTGGGGCATTTTTGGGGTAGTCTTCATTTTTCGCAGAAAATCCCCCTGTAGGGGGACAGGCCCGACTTAAATCTAGGAGGCCTCTCATGTGGTTCTGTGCCGCGCTCCCTTGTTCCGAGGAGTGGAGCGGCGCCCGCCCGTGGGCGCTGGGGGCGGCCCTGCTGCCGCTGGTGGAGCGCGAGGTCGAGGCCTCCGCGGAGGCGCTGCGCCGGGAGCGGCCCGTGCGCGTGGCGGTCCTCGGCGGCTGCTGCCTCACCGCCGCGCTCGCCGCACGCCTCGGCTGCGAGGTGACGCTGGTGGAGCGCGGGAGCCTCAACAGGAGGCTGCTGGAGGCCGTTCTGGAGGACAACGATCTGGAGGTCGTCGTTGCCGACCGGGTGCCTCCCGACGTCGACGTCCTCGTCTGGGAGGGGGTGGACGAGGACACGCTGGTGGAGCCGGGGCACCTGCAGCTCGTCCGTGGACACCTGCAGGGCTGCGTCGGGAGCGGGGCACCCCTCCCGCGTCTGGTCCCAGAGAGGCTGTGCATCAACGCTGCCCCTATTGGAAGAAGGGAAAACTGGATGGACATCCCTGACCTTCCAGGAGGGCTAAAAAATAGCACGCGACTTACAAACCTATCCCAGAGCTATGCTATGTCTTGGTTTTAGGCTGTTTCGTTTCGTTTTTTTATGTTTTTAGGCCTCCCGTGCTAAAAAGTGGCCCTCTGGAAGGTCAGGGATGAGCTTTGGGAGCTCCGCGCGGATGTCTCGGACCGGCGCTGGGCCCTACTCCCCAGCGCGCGGCGCGCGGCGCGCGCCAGGGGCAGCGCCAGCGGCGCCGCCAGGGGTGGGCCCAGCGCCGATGCAAGAGGGCCTCGCGGAGCTGCTTACGCTTAAGTCGTGCCTGTCCCCCTACAGGGGGATTTTCGATGAAGAATACAAAATACCCTAAGAATAATCAAAAAGTAGTCGAAACATAGTATAGGGATTATTTTTTTAGTATTTTTGACCTTTTGGGGGTATTTTCTTAGGTACGTTTCATTTGTCGTCGAAAATCCCCTTGTAGGGGGACAGGCCCGACATAAGCTTACGCAGTTTCTCCTTCCTCTGCCCATGTGGGGTGCCGCCGAGGGCGTCCCTGCCCCAAGGTCCCCCCCAGGATCTCCGGGGGCCGGAGGTCCTCCATGAGCACCCCTCGGCCCAGAAGGCCCCATGGGGCCCCGAGGCTGAGCAAGCTGGGGGACAACTGTCAGGAGAGAAAGAAGCACACAGACACAATTAATCGTCGACTCCCAAGAAATATGGGAAAATATGGGAATTGGGGGGAAGACAAAAACACAGAAAATATTTGAAAATATTGGAAATATGTTTATTTGTGTGTATTTATTTGTGTGTCCTGGGGCCCCTTCAAACTGGTGCAAGGACCACTCTCGTGGGCGAAAGCGTCTCCGTATCCGCGGCCTCGCAGGCTGGGCCCTTGGGCCGTGACGCCGATGATACTTGGCGTGTTTTCGCGGCCCCGCGCGGAACGCATCCGTGCGACCCCATAACCGTGAAGCCGCGCCCCCAGAATCGGGACCGCGAGGGCTTGGGTATGGATACGTTCGCCGCTCGTGATTTGGTGTGTGCCTGTTGGTGCGGTCTTGGGGTCCTCCTGGGCCGTCTTTCGGGTGCGAAGTGTAGCTCACCGATCAGATGCCTTGTTCTTGCTCCATGCAGGGTCCTCGGAAGTCGCGACCCCTTCCTGGGACCCCTCTTTCGCGCCGAGTCGTTTTCCGACGGCCCCGGGGGCGTGGCGAGGGTTCCCAGGGACCGAAAATGTTAAAACAAGTCCGTCTAGACTTCAATTCGTTGGCGCTTCTAGCCTTGGCATCGCTCGGACGTGTGCATTTTTTTCTCGGCGAGGACCATCGAGGAGCATCCTCGACCATCTGGCGAAAAAAAGACACGCACGAAACCGAAAAAAATCAGGAAATGGACGTCCGAGCGATGGCCAGTAGCGTGCCGTGCTCAAAACGTCCGTGTGAGAGACACGCTGCGTGCTGGCTCGGCACGAGTGGGCCCACGTCTTCACGAACGCAGCACGCCAGGCCTGCGGTCTCGGTCTGCGTGTCGAGCTCTCCGTGTCCACCCGCGATGGGTTGCGTTTTGCGCATCGGGGCGAGCCCCAGACCCCATCTTTCTGCGCCATGCTTCGAGCCACATCGATCCGTAAGGGCCCAGGGGCCTCAATATCGCTTAGAGCACGCCTGGCTCGAACAACCATGCACCGCCAAGATCTCAGGGTCGTGGCACTTCTGGCAACAGGGGCAGGAGGAGGAAGAGGAGGGGGAGGAGGCGGAGGAGGATGAGTAGAAGCGAGGGACGGGGAGGAGGAGGAGGAGGAGGAGGAGGAGGAGGAGGAGGAGGAGGAGGAGGAGGAGGGGGAGGAGGGGAGGAGGGGGGAGGAGGAGGAGGAGGAGGGGGAGGAAGAGGAGGAGAGGAGGAGGAGGAGGGAGGAGGAGGGAGGAGGAGGAGAGGAGGAGGAGGAGGAGGAGGAGGAGGAGGAGGAGGAGGAGGAGGTCGTTCATCAACGCAGTATTACCAGCAAAAACCGATGCCCACGCAACTACGAAGCAAAACCAATACGCCGACAACCACAGTTCCGACCTCCAACACGTCACCAGCTAAGCTTCCACCTCGTCTACCAACTCACTAAACCATCCAACAAACACAGCAGCCAAAGTCCACCCTTAGCGTTCGAGTCACGCCTACGACAACCTTCATACAAGCACCCCACACCAAAGCAATCCACCACCACCCGTCCTACACATACCAACCATGTGCCCACCAGACGAGGAGATCATGACGCAGCGTTGGCTACAGTAGGTACCTCTCAACAGCATGGCTCCACAAACGTATGCCACCCTGCACACCTGCTTTCCAACCCACGCAACACGAGCCATCGCAGCACACAACGCAGCAGCGAGAAGAGGAGACCAGCACATTCTCATCTGCAACCGACGCATCATCTTCGTCAACAACACAGGAGACCCGACGCTCCAGAACTACATCGACAGGATCCGCTCACACCAGATGCCATACGAGATCTACATCAACAGTCTCCACGACGACCCAACTGGAGTACCTTTCAAATAGCCTCCGCCCAAGCAGATTGTGAGACTGCGCAAGACACCACGCAAGCCCAAACCTACGAGCCGTAACGACACAGGACAAACCATGGACTAAGCACACACCGATAGCAGCCTACCAAGACATCCACTTCTAGTATTCGTACCTCCTCTATTGCCGCAGAAGAGCATCAACTGCGCCCCCTAACTGCACAGTGTGCAGCAACGCATACACAGGTGTCGGCTCTCCCGTACCGATTCCTTTCTCAACGATGTGCCTCACACCCTCTCGTTTCTCCGTCGCGCTTTCCGACACGCTGGTGGCTCACCCTTCTCAGTAATTGCATTTTTAGGGTACGCCATTCATTCCCTGGACCGCAGCCCTCGCATTGCTAGTTCATTTGAGGGACCCTCTTACAGGACACCCTCCCTGCCTCCTCCCCTGCCCTCAAGACTGGCCGCCGTGGCCGCCGCGATGCCCCTGAAGCGCATCCAGAAGGAGCTCACGGACCTGGGCAAGGACCCTCCGGCCAACTGCTCGGCCGTGCCCGTCGGAGATGACATGTTCAATTGGCAGGCCACCATCATGGGCCCCCCCGAGTCGGCCTGCCAGGGCGGCGTCTTCTTCCTTAAAATCAACTTCCCGTCGGACTATCCGATTAAGCCTCCGAGGATCCACTTTACGACGAAGATCTACCATTGCAACGTCAATTCGAACGGCACCCTCGACCCAGACATTCTGAAGGATCAGTGGAGCCCTGCTCTAACAATCTCGAAGGTGTTGCTCTCGATCTCCGCGCTCCTCACCGACCCGAACCTCAGCGACCCACTGGTGCCAAAGACAGCCCAGATCTACCTGAAAGTCAAGCGATTCGAGAAGGAGCTGCAGGATAACCAGGCGCTCATAATCATACCTTCCTCTCCAATCCCAGCTCCGACTCCAACCACCCACCACTACCCCTTCAGCGGCTGCAGGGAAGATTCTGACGACGACGTCCGAGACACTGGGCGGGTCGGCGGGGATCGACGCGTACCCCGCTCTGCACCCTCCCCAGGACAATCCCAGAATCACCACCCTACCCCTCGCCCCTGTCGGGTTATCTTTTTCGATGCCCCCAGGTGAGGCCGGATCAGGACCAGCAGGACAAAGGATGGGCCGGGCTATCCAACGGCGGAACTTCCGCACCTACGTGGGCATCGGGGACAACATCGGCGACACCCGCGTCAGCACTGACGCCAGCATTCACGCCGTCTCCTACGATGGCGTCGACGACAGCACAGACGCCAGCACCATCGCGGAGATGAAGGCCGACATGGAGATCTCTGACAAGAAGGGGTGGTACAACACCAGCCCCAACGCCAACAGCATCGACGCCGTCGCTGTCTCCAGCACCGACGCCAGCAGCATCCACGCCGGCACCGACGCCGGCGTCGACTCTGGCACCGACGCTAGCAGCATGGGTGCCAGCACTGGCTCCGGCACGGACGCCAACAGCAGCGATGCCGACACGGACGCCGGCACCTACGCCAGCAGGCTCGACGCCAGCACCGACCTTTGCATCGACACCAGCAGCATCGACAGCACTTACGCCACCATCGACTCTGGCACCGTCGTCAGTTGCATCAACGCTGGTGTAGACTCTGGCTTGATGGAGACTCGGGGCAGCATCGACGCCACCGGTTCTGGCACCGACTCGGGCACCGACGCCGGCAGCATCGACGCCGCCGCCGACTCCGGCACTGAGGCCATCAGCAGAGACACCAGCTCCGCGACCAGCAGCATCGCCGCTGATGCCGACGCCGACACCGACTCTGACACCGACGCCAGTAAGATCGACGCCGGCACCAACATCGGCACCGACGCCAGTGACACCGACGTGTGCACCGACTCTCGCACCGACGTCTGCAGCATCGACGCTAGCATCGACTCCAGCACCGACGCCAGCAACATTCATGCTGGTTCCGAGGATGGCACTGGCTCCAGCACCGACGCCATCAGCTTCGACGCCAGCATCAACCCCAGCACCGCGATCAGCAGCAGCGATGCCGGTACAGACGCCGGCACTGACGACAGCAGCATTGACGCTGGCATCGACTCCGACACCGACTCCAGCGGCAGGGATGCCGGCACCGACACCAGTGCCGACGTCAGCAGCCTCGACGCCGCCACCGATTCCGACACCGAGCAGTAGCAGCAGCGACGCCAACATCGCGCAAGCGGCACCGACGCCGACATTGACGCCAGCCGCGTCGACGCGGGCACCTGCTCCAGCACCGACGCAAGCAGCATCGACTGTGGCACCAACTCCGACACCGACTCTGGCACCGACGCCAGCGGCTTCGATGCCCGTCCCGACTCGGGCGCCGACGCCGGTTGCATCGAGGCTGGAACGGAATCTGGCACTGACTCTGGCAGCAACACCAGTGGCATCGACGCCGGCTCCGGCGCCTGCGC